GTCATGTGCCATTTTGCGATTGGCCTCTACCATTGCCAAATTAACTTTTAACCAGTTGGCATGAATACAAAAGGCACACCTTCACACACACACATTTGACCTCCATGCCAAATTTCAGTCTCCTAGGGGCAAAAATTGTAGCCGCCAAAGGGTGGGGAAATTTTTTTGGACCGACCAACCAACTGACAGTGTGAGCTGCTGGTCCCAACTAAAACAAGACAGTCTTTCTAACGTCATAACTCACCTAAGAATCATCTTGTTTTTAAGTTTCCTTTAGTATCAGAGTAATATAGTGTTTCTGTGCTTACAAGAACTGTTAACAGCTAATTCAGCATGCTTTTAATGTTTCCAATTTGCCAAAGCGGTTGCTGGATTTTGTCTGAGGGGGTCCCACAGTATCAGACCATGAAAACCCTAGGTTTATAACAACTGCACCTCTGTCCAGCTAATGCAGTTGTCAACAGCTGGTTTATTTACTGATGGCTCAGGATCAGCTCATTGTGGTTGCCTAGTAACACCGGCTCAGAAATGCAACAGGTAAAAGCCAGATGTGATTCAAGCATAAGGGTTTGAGTCAGTGTTAGTCAGAGATACCTCTTACTGAGAGCAGATAGAAACTGATAGTGGTTTGTAATCAACACTGCATGCATGCTAACGATCTTTTCAGTCTATGACGTGCAGAGTCTAATCACTCAATCTTTTTAAATGCTAATAGAGACTCTGAATCTGTTTCTCCAGTTCCTCAGCTGTGTGTCTCCCTGCTTCCATGCGCCTCATTCACATCTCACAAAATATCTGAGGGGTTAAATTCTGTGACACTTGGGAATGTTTATTGAATTCCACAGAATTAATGACCCTCATTTGCTCAGTCATGGACAGGAACACAGCGAGCATGTGACCAGGCCAGACTTCCACCACAGTGACTTGCTTTAATGTTCACTCGTGTCCCAGCATGTCTCGTGACTGCGGAGGTCATGGTGTTACCTCCTCTCAAGCTGAAGTGAAGTCATTATGTGGCATGAGCTGGTCGTCTCTTATTATGGTGTGAGCGGAGATGTGTTATCATGGTGTTAATGGAGGCTGAGCTATGAGGGCGTCATGGTTACGGAGGGAGGGATGAGGTGCCAGCGTATGAGCTGCATGCTGACGGCTGGACGTCACAGAGCTGGCTTCATTTCTTTGAATGACAAAAGCAGATATGTTTAATAGATTCCGTCAAAAGTCAGATCACAGCCTGGTTATCCAGAATAAGTAATTTGGTAATTAGGTGTTTATCCCCAATTTTGAACTTAAACCCATCAGCTCATGCTGGGTAAACATAGGTAATATAGGCTACAGCATTAGCTCTAAATACATATGAGCTTTTTAATAGCATCTTTGCTCAGATTGGCATTATTCCAAGACCACATGTTGTCTCACGATTCAGCCCTGGTGGAGAGAAATAGTAATTTCCTGAACATTTGTCTCTTTTTTGCTATGCTTCAGCTGGATTATTATTATTCTAACGGAGATAAACTGTTGTTTCCATGGCGGATCAGTGTAAAAACTGTGTTGAAATGGTACAGGAATCAAAGACGTGCCATAAAAGGCGGCGGGATTTCAGGATTAATCACTGCTGAGTGTGAATGAGCTGCGGGGGCCTTTTCACTTCAATTCTGCAAGAAGAATGGATGAACAGTTTGCCTGGAAGGAGGTTTCAAATGAAAACATGATGGATCATCTCATCTGGTTCATTAGATGCTTAATTTTCCGCTCTACACAGGGAAACTGGAAGTACTCCCTCAGCTCCTTGCTTGACTACTCGTACAGTAAGAGTGTCTTCAGAGGTTCAGGTCAGCAGGTCAGTTTGCGGGGAAACAACTTGGTGGTTCAGTGACTTCAGATTGGCTTCAAAGGGACAATGTTTCAAGGCAAGAAAAGACCCTGTCTCATCCACATTAATTTTATAGTGACATATTCCTTTAAAAAGATTAAAGGGACAGCTCACCACAAAATCAAAAACACATATTTTCCCTCTTACCTGTGGTGCTGTTTATCAGATTGTTTAGTGTGAGTTGAGTGTTGGAGATATCAACCATAGCGATGTCTGCCTTCTTTCCAATATAATAGTACTAGATGGCACACGGCTTGTGGTGCTCAAAGCGCCAAAAAATACATTTAAAAAACTCTATAGCAATGTCTCTTTCCAGAAATCATGACTCGCTAACTCAAGATAATCTACAGATCTTGTTGTGAGCAGTTTCATGTAGGAGCTATTTTCTTACTGCTGAACTACACCCACCAACCGTGTCACCGTGCAGAGGGAAAGGTGCATTTACTCATGGACGAGAGGGTCATGCTTGTGATGCCGTGATATGTAAACATTAATGATGTCCTCCTCGGCTGTAGCGTTAGCTAGCTCAGTGATGCTAGGTGAGCTAGCTGTAGATACAGTCTTGCTTTTAGGGCTGTAGTCTCCTGGTCGACTGGTCGATTATTTGGACGATATGCTCTCGTCCAACCAAATTCTCATTGGTCGAATAATCGCCGTGTTACTTACATAAAGAGAAAAGTGCTACATCAATAGCTTTCCAGGATTAGTCCATTATTTCCTGCAGCGGGAGGGACAGGCTAAGTTACCTGCGAAAATGGGGGTGTTGTTTACGCAACGTTGAACTGACCTCCCATCAGTTTCTGTATACTGACACCTTTTCCCCTAGTGGAAACGAAGCTTGTATTTACTTGTATGTCACAGATAAGAAACAATAAATTGTGAAGACAGTAAAGCCTCCACTAAAATAGCATTTTAAGTCTTGTGTGTGATTCATCCTTTATGGATACATGATTTATCCTGGCTTCATATGAGCAGAGGGAATCTCTGCTCGTCGCTAGGCTAATTTATACAATGTAAGATGCCATAGGCTGGCACTAATAACATTAGCATGTTGTATTTGTGGGGGAATGTGTCCAGATAAAGTGTTTGTCTGTGAATGCTGCGTTTTATAGTGAAGCCAGTTTGCGTACTTGTGTTTGAAATTGTCTCTATTAAGCCATGTTTAATGTGTGTTTTGACTCAACCAAGCTTTACAGCACTTAAACACAGTCCTCCACTGCCGACTATCGTTGTGGAGGTGTAACTGCAGAGTGACGCAGACACACCACTGCACAAGTAAAAATAACGTGACTAATCGATTAGTTGAAGATTATGTACAACATCAGTCGACCAAGATTTTCTTTGGTTGACTACAGCCCTACTTGCTTCTGCGCGGTGATGGTGGGTGCTGTTCATTCATTCATTCTTTCATTCATTATCTGAGAGAGGAAGAGGAACAATATGTATTTTTTAATTTTGGGGTGAACTGTCCCTTTAAAAGTTTGTGAGTGTGTTATGAGGTCAGCAAATACAGTAGGTTCTGAGTCAGTCATGACCTTTCCTGGAGTTTCCCAAAACAGCTTCAGAAAGATCTGTTTTAGATTGACTCTTAATCAGCTCAAGCTGCATCTGTAACAGTAACACGCATTTCTGTAGGAACCGCAGAGAGCACGTTGTGCCTGATGTAAAAATGAGAATAATGCTGTTTGAGATGTTACATTACATACTGCCATAGTGAAGTTGTCACAGTGTCCAAATTTCCACGTGTTCGCTTGAGCCGCTGATAATCGAATCTCGCCAAGAGGCGACGCTGACTGCTTCTATTGGACATGATGTGAAAGGTGCAGCCGAGCAGAGCTGATTTGTTTACAGCGGCTGACAGCAGACGTCTTGTGACTCCATAACATCGCTCTGGCTCTGCGCTCAGAGATGAAAGTGTTTTCTTGGGCTGTTTGTGTAACGTTGTTTGTTTACCTTCCCAGTTTAGGCTGCTGGATGTTTATCCTGTTGTTGTTCCTCAAGTCAGCGCTCAGGTTGTTACACCTGTTAGCTTGTGTGTTTTATTTTCTCTCCATATGGTTTTATATTTCAGAAGACATCTTTAATCATGAGTGTTGCATTGGGGCATTTGAGTCTCGTAGTTGTTTTTTCTTGTGTAGATCAGAATGGGAACACCCTGGTGCCATGTTACCTCCAGGAATTTGGAATAAGTTTGGCACAGAAGTTTCCCTGAACAATGATTCATGTTTTCACAAAGTGAATAAAATGGCCTTGTGAGAGGCTATACCCTTCATACTTCATGATTGCTGTGATAATGTTGCCCTTCCTCATCTCCCGCTCCTTGTTGCCAGTGTTTGCCAGGACAAACAGACAAGCCGGCAGCTCAGCAGGGGTCTTGGATTACTGTGAAGAACCTGCCAGGGCTCCCTGCCTCCCTCCCCTCCACAGTGGGGGATTCCTATTTCAGCTTCGGACTCTCCCCGCAAACTTGAAGTGGTTCCGCTTACCAATTTTCTCTGGCATTGCAAAGACACAAACCACATGTGAGAACACCCGCAGATCCTGTTTCACTTCAATATAGACCTCAGAGGCCGGCCTCTCGCTGGGCCTGTGGTGAGCATGTGTACTGTACAGTTAGCTCAGCGGGAAGTATCTGAAACGGTTAGAGGTGATGTGTGGAGTCACTGACTCCTGCGTTTTGTCAGGGAATAATCGATCAGCTTTTGACTGAGCTGCTCTCTTCCCTCGTGGCTACACTCTGACTGAACCTGGACCACGCACTCATTTAACCCTATTAATCCCTCATTTAGCTGTGCGCCCTTGCTTTTAAGAGGATTAAAACAGGTGATGGAAATGCCTCTGTGATTGTGTCCAGCTTGCTTAGCAGTCATTATTCATGGGTAAATTCCTGCAGTAGAGTATTAACAGTTCCTAACCACTCCCATTCTAATACAGGTCCCTTTAAAACTAGGGTTCTTGAATCACTGGGCCCAGGCGCCAGAACCAGACCCCACACACATTTAAATCAGAATGTATTGCTAAATATAGATGAACATTTCTTTAGAAGAACATGTGTAAGAGAATTCACGATTTGAAATTAAAAGATTCAACATTTTGCTAAATCCACGTATCGCTTTCTTGCTTTCAGATAAATGAGAGGATCTATACCTCTCTGATGTCTGTGCACTGAATATGAAACTACCACTAGCAGACAGCTAACCTAGCTTCGCATAAAGACTGGAAACGGGAACACAGCTGGCCTGACTCTCACCAAAGGTAACAAAGTTCGCTCAGCAGCACTTCTGTAGAATTGTCACACAATTGGACATTTGTGTAATTCATAATAAAACATGGGATTTTTCCCCCTTATAAGTAAGGATGCACCGATTTATTGGCCAATATTCGCCTTGTTGACTGCCATTGGCCTATCAGCAAATACTTAACGATGGCACCGACGATGATTTTCCAATGTGTCACATTAGTTTTGCACAGGCTATAAACTAAGGGTGTCCCATCATCTCGGGGTCAATATTGAACTTATTTGGGACAGAGATCTTGGACACCTTTGGCATGAAAGGATGCAGGCAACTCATTTTTGTCGTGTCAGAGGGCACGGCCTGTTAATACTACAGTGTGAACAACACATTTGTGTTGAAATGTGCAGGAGAGTTAGTTAACTTCAGCAGCCGCTGACCTTAACATTTTGAGCTCTATTCAGTAAAAATGAGTATTGAGCAAAGGTAAAGTCTAAAGTTATTATGGTGTGTTCAGATGTAATCTTGTTAAATTTTACTCTGGGGCAAAAAAAGCAATATAAAACATATTTAAAAGGGAATTATGATACATAAAGTAAAATGGCTGTTGAAGCCGTTTTTTTATACAAGGTGTTTTCCGTTTGAAAGAAGTTTATATTCAAGGTTGTTTCATAAATTTGTATGATTGAATTTTTGCCTCTTGCAAGACAGTGTAATGAAGGGCTGAATGACTTTAATTCTTAGTTTCTTTTCATAATGAAGAATTCATCCTTTACTTGGAAAAAATGGGGGAATAAATAACAAAAAACAAAGAAACATCAGTATCAGCAATTGGCTAAGTTCTTATTCTGAACATCGGTATCAGTGTAAGCCCAGAATTTCATGATCGGTGTATCACTAACAATAAGTGTTAATTGTCCCTGAGGTAATTAAAGTTTGAGAGCCCGGGTTTAAACAGATTTTTAGATCTGAATGACCAAAATAAGTTAAATTGAAACAAAGTCATCTGTTTGAGACATTTCTACATCCAAGAGGATTCAAAAGTTACCCATGTTAACAAAGGCTTTTGGAAAACCCAGCTTCCCTTGAAGTTTGGAGCAGGATCAGCAGCAGCTGGCTGGTGCTGCTGGTGAGACGGCTGCAGAGAACCAGTTGAGGGAGGATTTGTCACCTTGTGAGGATGATTCAGGCTTTTAAAAATGATTTGCACAACGAGCATATCCAAATATGCAGTTGCGCAACCTTCAAAGTATTTTCAGTCGTCTGTGTGACAGTCACGCAAGCATGCATATACACACACAACACTCAATCACAGATGTGCCGACACCACAGAACTGGGTCATAGTAGATGTTTTGTGCCACTGTGTATTTTTGGACCCAGTGAAGTGTGTTTCCCTCCAAGTGGCAGATAAAGATTGCAGTTTGTGCTCTAAATCTGGCTAAGTGACTCTTTCCTGGAGTTGTGAATGCAGAAAAGCAGGGGTGTCTGGTGAGGAAGATGAGCTGCTTGGTTTCTCACCACCTTTAAGGCGACTGGAGTCATAAATCAGCCATAAATCTTTAGTGCTGGAAGCCGGGCCTCAGAGTTTCAGTGCTGGTTTCGATTGGGAGGCGTAGCACAGCTTTAGACCATGTCAGGACAAAGTGGTGGTATGAAAGACGAGATAGGAAAGTGTTTGAAGCACTCTGGATGATTGATGCAGATATTAGAAAATAGGAATGTGCTCACTTCCCCTAAAATATTGCAGATAGATAACTTGAAGACCAAACATACTGTCATAGCCTCAAAGAGCCCTCTGGTAAGTATCACCTATCTCTATCCTCCATAGGGTTGATGGATGTTTAATGGCAAGTGTGTGCGGGCTGGCTCAAAGTGCACATGTACAGAGAAGTGAATGATAACTGAGCAGAAATTTTATGTAGGGCTTTCTGAGTTAAGTTTTAACTACATGTGTATTTCACACCTCACATTTTTATCACACTCTGAGCTGTCTGAGAAGCTGTGTGTGTTTCTGTGTGTGTGTGTGTCATGCAGGTATGATTCGTGAGTGTTTACGGCATGCCTCAAGCTACCCATGACTCACTTCTCTCTCTCCCTTTGTGCAGTTAATCAAAAGTGCTTTTAATGTGACTCTTTTGAGCCAATTCAAGCAGCTCTCATCTTTTACTTCACTCACTCTGACCATACCAAATCAAGTGCACTCAATAAACGTCCTCCGATTATCCACAATTTCCCCATAATGCAGTCTTTAAACCCTCCACCTGCTCCAGGGACCATACGTGGAATTAGTCTGTGGCTTTATACGGTGTCCTCGCAAACTATTTGATGCTTGATTTGGCTTCTGCATCTGTACATGATGCCATCAGCGCTTTTACTACATGTTGATCCTCTTGGGAAAGAATGCAGCTTGATTTTACTGGAAATGACTTCATGTAGATCCAATCAGCCGACACAATTCCCCTGTAACAGCCACTGATAATAATTCATGCAGTTATTAAGCACTCTGGATGAAAGTACCTATCCAGCTGGAGAAGCTTAAAGTCTTTAAGTCTGTAATTTTGCATGCATTTAGTTCCAAGTATGCATCAATAAAGGTTTGTTTTGTTCATTATGTACGTTGATGGGCGGTGTTCACATTTCCAAACTGTAGCTTGTCTCGCTGTGGTGGTGTTGTGTCATCAGATAGGAATGCTGCACAGAGGGAAATAATGATTATTTTCAATCACAGCTGACAGAGAGCAGTTTCAATCTTTGCATGCTTTTTATTTTCAATTTATGACATATTTTGTATTTTTGTGGTTTGTGGGAAGAGATGTAAATATGGCCTTACCTCAGTGTCAGTAGATAAGTGCATTATTAGGGAAATGGCAGTGTCTAATGCCGGCCTTACACTAAACTACTTTTCAAGCAGTTAAATTTAACTTGTTAATAAAATCACGAGAGTTTCACCTCAGTCGCTCCTGTTACCTCAATTGTTTGGTGTAAAATGGTCATAAATCTCAGTCCAAGCTGTCTTAAGTCTTTATCTTGTCTTAATGTTCCCACAAAATCAAACATGTTTGATATTATCTAAGTTTTTAGTGCAAATACTGAAGTTCAATGACATAAACATTGATAACAACCAACAGCAACACTCTTCAGCACCAAACACAAGGCAGCAAACGGAACACACTCTAGGCTAGAGCTGCCACTAACGATTATTTTCATTGTCGACTAATCTGTCGATTATGTCTTCGATTAGTCGACTAATCATTTTAGCGAAAAATGTGTTAAAATGTTGAAAAATGTCGGTCCGTCTCTGCCAAACCCCCAAATTATGTCATCGATGTCTTGTTTCGTACTCATGCCAAAGGGTTTTAGTTCACCGTCATGGGAGAGTGTGTAAAGCTGCCAATATTTGAACGTAAGAAGCTGCAATAAGAGTATTTTGGGGTACTTTTATAGTACTTTTCTATGAAAAATGACTCAACCTGATTAATCGACTACTAAAATAGTCACGATTATTTTAATAGTCGATTAGTCGACTAATCGTTGCAGCCCTACTCTGGGCAGGTGTAGCAACATGAACAAGTCTTAGTTCTCTCTGTGTGGAAAAGTAGGAGAAATTGGCAGAGTTGTGGAGTGCCCAAGAGTTGGTGTTAAATTTGGCATGCATCTGATCCACCAACCAGCACTTATTTTAGTGAAAAATCAAACGGTTCTCCTCTCATTTTCACAGTCTCCTCCCACTAAAATTGCACAGCTGACCGTCGTAGGCTGGTAGCAAGTTGAGGTGACATAATGCAAACTGTAAAGCTTATACACAAATACAGTTTATCTTTATGGATCATGTTGATGCCGAATTGACAATAACACTTTGGACGTTTGATGCCTTTTGTCTTGTGTTTGCAGAGTTAAGTGTTTTTTCAGACACATAAGGAGTTGTTAATATGTCAGATTTCTTAAAGGGAAAATCTAGTCTAATCTCTTGCATATAGTGACCCTGCAAGATCCTCAGCCTTTGCAAAATCTGATAGTGTGACTAAATCCTCACATTGTCTGTGAGAAGGTGTCAGTCTAGAGTCTTTTCTTCTAGTGTGTGGTTGGCAGACGACAAAGGCACTGCTCCAATAGCAGCCTGTTGCAGCAGCTTGTGTTTCCATCAGTGAAACAAAATCTAATTTTCAGAGAGTGCATTAATAATACAAAAATGTAAGCCACATTTCTCATTCTTTTGTTAGACATCCGAAGGCCTCGTTTCATTTTGTGTTAGTTGCCAACTGAATATAAATGGATATAGATATACATGTGCTTTCTGCTCTGTTTTGTGTGTATTTTTTCAAAGAAAGTAGCAGATTTATCAAGATCTGAAATAGAGAAAGAACAGTTAACTCTTTGTGACACTGTAGCCAGCCAGCATTGGTTTGTATTTAACTTGATTAATGGCCAAGACTGTAAATCAGTGAATCTAAATTGGATTTCTGGTGTTTGACCAATCAATTAATATCTCATTCTCTCTACTATTCTATACATGCCTCTCAATGGCTGAAAATGATAATAATCAATGTTATCAACAGCAATTTTTCAGTTTAAAGGGAGCTGGAACATTTTTGATTTAAAGTGTTATCTCAAGCCTCTTAACAAATGGATCCTGTGTTTGTGTGAAAGTGTTGGTACAGATGTCACGTGACGCTTCACTGAAAGAGTTTCATTATTTTCAAATGAAGCATGTCCTCGCCACGAGCAGTTCATTTTTTTCAGTATCATTAATGCCATCCTCTGAGCGTTGCTGCTGTGATGGTTTGGCTCAGGAGCATTGTAATGAAAATTTAACACCCATTATACTGATACAATTGACTGTTTATTAAAAGTAATGATATGCAGGTAGAACGAGGACATTTTGTTTGGAGCAGTTCTCTGAATTTCTTCTTAGTTTAGTTGCTGTCATGACTTCCTGAGACTAGCTCCCAAACTGGCAACACCTCTATCTCATTGAACGACTCCAGCTTTTATCTTCAGCACGCTCTCTCTGCGTTCGTCATCTCCAGGCTTGTCAGTGTCAGGCTTAAATAGTTTGCTGTGTGCCAGAGACTTTAAACTGCCTCTGAACAACAGTTGTCAGCCGTATGGGAATAAGAGCAAATTGCTGTTTCACGGTAGCAGTGTTTCTTTTATCTGGAACACTCAGCTGTAACCTCCTGAGAGCTGCCTATAACGCAGAGTGTCACTGCAGGTTTGTAGCCAGGACATTGTACAGCAGCTGCAGATGAACACAGGCACATCTGAGGATTTATGCATGAGGGGTGCTAACAAATCTGAAATGATAAAAAGAGATGTGATGAAGAAAGCCTGTGACTTGAATGATTGATTGTGTAATGTTATTTATTCCATGCAGACACCGTCTACGTCTTGTTGGCTCCTCCTGTTTCTGACAGTCAAACGTGGGCAGGTTTCCCAGACATTTCACATTCTGAATTCAAATTTCCTGTCTGTCTCACCCCCCCTCCACTCCCCTCCAGGTTGATGTTTCCTCACCGGGCGCCCCCAGGGTCGCTTTCAAGCCTGACTGCCGACAGCTCACCACCTCTGTCAGCCTCTTGAGCGAGCCAGTTGATCGCCTCTAGCTCAACAACACCACGCACAAGGTTCCGCTGCGTCTGCCAGCGGTCCAGCCGAGCAGCCTCTGCGTCGCCCTGAGCCCAGCTGCCTGGGCGGAACTGCATCACCATGGACACGGAGTCCACTTACTCGGGCTATTCCTACTACTCCGGACGCTCCCGGGGATCCCACAGGCATGGGTAAGACTAAATCCTGCTTTGTCGGTAATTCTGTTTCTGCTTTTACCTGGAGGGTATGTGCCAGAGCGTCCTTTATTAATCACCATATCCCTACCGGGGCTGAGGCTGCTGTTCAGTAGCTGAACTTGCACTTTGACCTCCCTCCCTACTCCCAAATACATATCTGTTGTAACAGTTTAACAAATGACTATTAAGCCCAGTGTTACAGTATAATTCTCTGGTGTATCAGTGAAGTGAAAAGAACACATTACAGATAAGGGAGACACCCCAGTCATGTCAGCATCAGATGAGATATAGACCACTGTGCGCAGTTTCAGCGTCAGTGTAAGGCGAGGGAGAGCTGCTGCTGCCTCAGTGCAATTTGGGTGCATTTACACCTTTAATTTCATGTGGTCAAGCACTATACGATTACAATCTGATCACCCAAAATGCATTTTAATGCAAGGCGTAAAGGGGGTTTAAGATCATGTGGTCATGGGTCACATATCTCACAGTGGCCAGGCACTGTCTCACTCCCTCGTCCTCTCCTTGCTGTTCTCGTACTCATTACAATCTGCAGAACGCTACCAGAGGAGACAGCAGATGTTTTTGCAACTGAAGTGTAGAGGTGTGAGATGCTTATTTTCTGCCTTATGTTCCACACACAAGACCGCTCCCTCACCGGAGCAGCACCAGTCTGTATTCACCCATCAGAGGCACGGCAGCCTTCAGTGATGATACCTGTGACACTGAGTGACTACAGACAGAGGCTACATCCACACTAATATGTTTTTGTCTTAAAACACACAAGTATTGCGACATTTATGCCAAGCGTCCACACTACTCCAACCTTTTAGAACCCCTGAAACGGAGACCTTGGAAAACACTGCTGACCCTGTTTTAGTTTGAAAACTCCAGGGTTAGGTTTTAACATGAATGGGTGGAAACAGAGACTTTTAAAAATGATGACACAGACACAGATGTTTGCTCATCCAGTGGGTCTTATTAGTCACAACATGTCAAGAAAAAACATTATAGCTATGACTGCATATCTTCTTGATTTCATCCTTCTTGTCTGGGTACTATTTTCCCATCACCATGGCTTCTTCCAATAATGGATGATGCTCCCGGCCAGTACCACTCTAATATGTCACTGTATTTTCTTTGCAATGACTCCCAATCTGTTTTACGCAGTCTTGACTGCCTTATACTCGTGTTACTCTCACAAACACTGGTCTTACTTTTTGCCGTCGCTGTAGTATTTTCTTCTTGCAGAGTAGACCGTCTGCTTCCTGTTTACATTGGTACACACATGCCTAGTGTGTGAATGGTTATGTGATATGCGTTTCAGGCGTGTTAGTATGGATGGAGATTAATTCTGAGACTGTGCCAAAATGCTCATGTGTATGGAGTGTGGATATGGCCAGTGAGATGTCGTGGCATCAGAGCCAAAGTAGCACATTTTTCAATGAATTCATTTTAATCGGCTTAAGAACTAGATATTTTTTTACGCTCTCATACTGACGATTCAACGGGTAGAGTTTCATGTACATCCAAGCCAAAGTGCTCCAACTGTCAGTCATCTGACACGGACACAAGTAGTAGGTGTTCTAAAGGGTTCTTAAATAAATACATGCATATTTACGTCTTAAAATATTGATTGAATGGTTACGTTTTCTTTTCATCATTTCAGTCTTTTCTGATGCTTTATAAAACTGGCAGAATCTGTTGCAGCTTTATTTGCTTTCTCATCTCTGGATTTCCACTCCCTCAACCTTCTGTTTCCTACACGTCCCCCCTCTGATCCCACCTCTCTAGCCTCGCATGTGTGGAGCCCTCAGCTTGTGTAGGCACATTAGTCTGTCAGCGTTGAAATGGTTGTGGTTGACAGGCCTCAGGAAGGCAGCAGGAGACAGGTGCTGAAGAGGGCCGACTGACTGACGGCTCAGTGGACACGCCGAGAGCCTGAGAGGAGATGAGAGCAGGGCATCGGAGATGAGGATCCTGTTCCACAACAGCCCCTCCCTTGTCACTGACGGCCCCCTCCTGCGCGTTCGCCATATATCTCTCTTGGTTTTCCATTCCCACTCTGGTTTCCACCTGTTGCCGTTTAAGCGACTTTGTGTCCCATGTCGACGACCACTTTCTGTCACCATCTCATTCCCCTTCACTCTTTATCCTTCTCGTTCTTGTCCTCTTTATCTCTTTTTCTCTCCATTCCCTCAGCTCATTTTTTTTTTGCTCCCATGTGTCCATCTTGATATGAATGCAGCAGCTGCCCCTTTCTCACTCGCTCTTGACCTCTCCTCTGTATCGTCTTCGCCCCCCGCTTCACCTCCCCGCTTCTTAAATGGATTCCTGTCTACTCTCTGAGGATGGGTTGGCGCAGGCGTATCACTTGTTCCCCACTCGCTCGCATTCCCCGGGGCAGGAATGTGACCTTGTAGCTCAAAGTTACGCCATGCAGAAGTGCTCGTGCTTCGTTTGGATTTAACGATGGGGGGAGAGGTTAGTGTGTAATGGTGGTAGCGGTGGCGGCGGTGGTAGCCCCCGCTACTTGTGTTTCTGAAGCCTTTAAGTGAGTGACAGCAAATTGGAAAGAAACATACTATATGGACATTCCCGCCAAGCGCCTTTTCCGCTCCTCCGCTCCTGCCATGACTGTGCCAAAGCCACCGGCTGGCCTCTAATTCGATATTCCACAAAAAAGGAAAAAATTGTTGCCTTTGAAACCTCTTGCCATCCCTATCTGAAGGTAATCTTTTCACACCAAGGGGTGCCACACGAGGCAGTTCTGGATCACTGTAGTCTAATTACATTGATACCTGGAACAAATGCAGGCATGTGGGAGTGCGATCACATACAAACAGTCACACACAGTGACATTATCATGACATTGTGCTTATGTATGCATACTTGTGAGTAAATGTTAAACATAATTTGTCAGAATATAATAGAAGAATGGACTGGGATTGGCTTAGGTTTTCATTAACAGACGGTGCAGGGTTTTTGGAGTTGTTTCCTCACATAGCTGGCTTTTTGCCCCCCCTACCGTGTCAAACAATCTTCAACTGGTGTCCAAGATAGTTCCAAAACAAATTCCCCCAGCTCTTCAGTAATGGCAGAGTAGCAGCTCAGTCCATGGACGTTACTTGTTGCCAAAAGCTGAGACAAAACATGCTGATGACACTTGCATGTAGAAATTATTTTTATTCCCTTCTGACCATGTTCACTCGCACCAGAGCAAAACACCAATACACAAGAGAGCAATCGTTTCCTTAATTATGGATATTACAGTGATGCCCATGCATTGTTGTATTAGCCAGAATCCAGAGCTGCACAATTAACTGAGACGGAAGGATGCTAATACGATTTTCAGTCCTTGGTTGTAATATTCCATTACCACGTGAGCTCTTAGAAGTAGCAAGAGGCTGCCAGTTTTTGTTTTCATGATATTGTTGATGGAGATTTAAATGTTTTTACCTGGTAAATCAGAAGGATTTGGTTTTAAAATTAAAGATATGATATTTAGGTTTTCTACCTGCAAAAATCAGTCTCGTACTCATACTCGAGACATTTCTGCCATGCTAACCAATTTAAAGGGACTGTCCACCCTAAAATCAAAAATACATATTTTTCCTCTTACCTGTAGTGCTGTGTATCAGTCTAGATTGTTTTGGTGTGAGTTGCCAAGCGTTGGAGATATCAGCTGTACACATGTCTGCCTTCTCTCCAATATAATGGAACTAGATGGCACTCGGCTTGTGGTGCTCAAAGCGCTAAAAATACATTTGAAAAACTCAACATCAATGTCTCTATACAGAAAATCATGACCTGGTTACTCAAGATAATCCACAGACCTTGTTGTGAGCAGTTTCATGTAGGAATTATTTTCTCTCAACCAAACTACGGCCGATATTTCCATCACTTTGCAACTCACACCAAAACAATCCAGATTGATAAACAGCACTACAGGTAAGAGGAACAATATGTATTTTTGATTTGGGTCTGTACTGTCCCTTTAAGGAGTATGGTAGTTTGATATTGAGCTACTTCACTTCAGTTATCCTCTCAAAAGTTCCCCAAAGCTCGGCCTCTTCACTCTGTCAAATTTGAGTATTTAAATGATCATGAAATTGCAAATCTCATATTAGCAGCTGCTCATGTGGAAAATTGGTTCTTTTGACTGGTGTAACTACCAATTATAGGGCAGCACGCAGCATTGGCACGGGACTGAGTGAGTCATTTGAACTAATTCATTCACAGTTCTAATTCCATTTGGGGGCTCCTCGATGATACGCCTCTTAAAGGAGACGTTTTATATATACATCTTATATAGATGTGTAAGTTGACCGTTAAATGTTTTGATTTTTTCTGACTTTAGTAGCACAGTGACTACTGTGATAATGAAATGTGGAGCCGTAAAGTCTTAAGTCACAGCTCCTGAAAGTCTGAGCTAACTCAACAGAAGTGCACACACTCTGAATACTGATGGACAATGACTGGGCGATCTCTGAGCACAGAGCCTGGGGGCTGCCTGACCACTTCTGTAAGTTTCTGAAACCAACTATCCAACATTCACACCCACTTCACGCTGTGCTAGGGTTTGATCCGATTTTAGCTCACTTTTTTTCCACGCTTCACACAACTGTTCCTCTCTTACTTTTCATGTGAACAGCCGAGTGCGACACTATGGATGCCCTCCAGGAGAGACTTTCTGAGAATGTGCTCTGTCACCCAGGCATTGAAACGATATCACGTCTCCTACCTCTCTGTGATGGACAGCTTTTCTCGTTGCTTTGCAGTGTGGTGGTTTGGAACAGCTATGACACTTCTGATTTCTGGCTTCATACGAACCACCTCTGTTGTATCAAAACTAGACTCTTTTTTTTTGTCACGGGAATGTGTAGCATTGTCTGTATGAAGCTAATCCTGAGGAGCAGCCAGGACACATGATGTCTTATCACACCCAGTGCCCCTCACAGTCAACCTGGGTCAACACCAGACGGCACACACTACAG